GCATCCTACTTTTAGTGATGCAGCCCCATTCATTTCAGGAGATCTCGCTGCCCTGTAATGAATTTAACATTGATGTAAAGCAGAAGAGTATACACTTCCTTATAGCATCTATAAACCCATAGAATACTGCCTAGGGAGAAGTTCTCCTGAACAAAATCCCATTGAAATGAATGAAGGAGCAGAAAATAAATTCCATTCCTTCCCGAGGGCCCTATTCCTACTAATATATAAAAGAAAAGAAATTACCTGCACAAGTTTCTATAGGTATACTCCGAAGTAAGACCCATTTAATTTCATAGGATTTACCTCCCAGGTAAGTGTATTAAATATTATAGCCCTGCTTTACTTTCTGGAAGTGCTGAGGGGAGACCAAGGTGTGGGTAGGCAGGCAGAAACAAAATGTTTTTGTTTTATATGTTCTAATGGTAAATATTATTATTCAGTTTTAATTATATGTTTATTATTAAGTTTACATCAAGAGGACAAGTTTAGTATGCTCCTAAAGGAATCCAGATCGCTATGACAGGAATCCTGTTGTCGAGTCCCAACTAGAGTAGATGGATTGATCCAGTGGTTAAATGATGAGTCAACACCATAGGAAAACCATCGATTCAAGTCGAGACTAACAATAGGAGTTAAGACTAATGTTTAGTGGTATTAGGAAACAGGAAAGAGGGTAGCAAATTGGACATGTAAGGCCACCGTCCTAAGTAAGCTGGCCCCAATCCAGCGGGAAGATCACACAGATATGAAGGGCTCCCTTTCATTTCAACAAAGTCTGAGCAGAAGAATTCTTCAGCCCGCATTAGGATTGGGGTGCCTTTAGAAACAAAGCACACCGAAATCAATAAAACTTACTCCTGGCTAATGCGTTGCATCCAAGCTCAGAGCAGTTCCGGGGAAATCGATGAGACTTAAGGTAGTCCTGACTAACTGAAGTCCCGCTGATTTCAGGGATCTCCTCTAATTGTGACTAGATCTGGTATAATATTTACAAAAGCCCTGGACTGTAATGTTTAATGCTAATTTTTTTTTTTTTTTAAATGCAATAGTAAGTCTGCCTTCCAAGAATGCTGAAGATGTTTTTGTAAGTCACAACAATGGAGTCGGTTGGGCTCCATTTTAAAAATCCTATCAAATCCTATCGGATTTTCAAAAGAGTAAAGCAAAGGAAGAGAGAAGAGAGGATTGCTGGTATGTCCCCCCCTTTTTTTTTTTTTTAAAGGAAGAAGGAAATGATTTGAATCAGTGATTCATTCCTCATCCTCTGCATCCTCATCCTTTAAGAACAAACAATAACAACATTCAAGCCTGGATAATGTTACCCAGTTTAGATGCTTCCTAAAGCCCGAGTCCTCAACATAATCTATTACGAACTAAATCCCAGTAAATCTTTCTAGGGCCAGGTTGGTATCCGTCCAAATGTCTCCTTTCTCCATCCTTGTGTGTGTGTGGCCTTTCATCCCTAGAAATGAAACAACAGCATAGGATCTTTTAACACACACATGTCTACATCTATCTATCTATCTATCTATCTATCTATCTATCTATCTATCATCTATCTATCTATCTATCTATCTATCTATCTATCTATCATCTATCTATCTATCATCTATCTATCTGATCCTATCACATACGTCTACATCTATCTATCTATCTATCTATCTATCTATCTATCTATCTATCTATCTATCTATCTATCTATCTATCTATCTATCTATCTATCTATCTATCTATCTATCTATCTATCTATCGGATTCTATGTTAGTGTTTCATTTCTAGGGATCAAAGGCCAGATATGCAGGAGGTTTTTCAAAGAAGGCTAAAGCAGCTACTAGCTAACCAAAGAACTGGAACCTTGTTAACAGAAGGTGGTGGAGTCCAAACATGGGGACAATCTGAGCCCCACTAGTATTTGGGAAACCGAAGGCACAAGCAACCTAGCCTCACAAAAACTGGGGAAAGGGGTAGCTACTCTTTGTTAAAAAATGCCAGCCTCCCTGAGCTCTGAATTTCCAGACAGGATCCAGGGCCAGCTGTAAGCAGCTGTAGATAGAGAGCCGAGAGGGCCGCCCTCCAGCCCCCAGATTCTTGTGAATTTATTCCTTTGTTTCTGGCACTACCGTCCAAAGGCTACCGTCTTGAAGCGCTTCCTTGTGAACCAATAATCCCAATTAAATTCCGAGGGAATCTGTTTTAAGCATTAAGTCTTTTTTGGTGGAGAGTAGGAAAGGAAGAGGGAAGGATTTCGCACTTAGTTGGGATTGAATGGAGAGGATTCGAACAAGGGGCGAAGGAAAAGTAGAAAAGAGGGACACGCATGGAAACATTGGGTTGAGAGGCAGCGTGGTACAGTTGTTTTGTGCGTTGGGCTATGACTCCAAAGACCAGGATTCGAATCCCCGCTCGGCCATGGAAACCCTCTGGGTGACCTTGGTCAAGTCACACACTCTCAGCCTCAGAGGCAAACTTGAACAAATCTTGCAAGGTACCCCCTTAAGGGTCGTCATAAGTCGGAAACGACTTGACGACACACAACCACAAATTGCTTATAAACAAAGAACATCTTGGTGAAACCATGAAAGGAGGAGGTGGAGAATAAGAAGGGGAGAATATTAAAGAAAGTACACTTAATGGATGGATGGATGGAGTTCAAGCAGAAAAGTTTCTCCCTTTTTTGCAATATATAAGGAGAGCAGAAGCAATGGATGGAATGGGGATTTTGTTAAGGAGCACTTTAAATGATAACGCATGGCCGTTCCCATTTGGGAGGAATTTTTCTCAGTGCCCTACAATAAACACAAAACCTGTAGGATTTGGTTACTTAAAATATAAGGATAGAAACAACACAGGAGCCAAGTCTCTCTGGAACACACACAATTCTTTGATGATATTTTTTTTTCCGCGTTAGGAGACTGTGGCAAAAAAAAAAAGGAGAGAGAGAAAGAAAAGAAAGACATATGGAATCAATTTCGTATCTTGACGTTGAAAACCAGCCAATTCCTGCTGGCCTCTTAAAACCAGATCCCGTTTGGTCCCCCTCTATCTGGCACCTCTTGTCAGTCAGTAGGATCCCCTTCTTGTAACGTTTTAAAGTCTTTATAAAGAGAAAAGGGAGGATCGGGAACTTTTCCTCTTTCGGAGGAGGAAGAGAAGGGCGGCGGAGGGATGAAAAATATTGACCATCTTTTTCTAAAAAAAAAAAAAATAATAAAAATCCTTCGTACTTTCTTCGACTTGGCTACCGAGAGACTTTTCTCAGGGTGTTTCGGGAATTATTGGAGCCCCCCCTTTTTTTCTTTTCAGTCAAGTT